GAGCATCTTACAGTAGCAGAAGACTGGAACTGTACCATAGATTTCACACTAGACAGGAATAGTCAGGAACCACATTTGTCATCCATCACAACGCTATCCACGCTTTTAACACAATTTGATTTGGTTGATGCGTGGCGTTGTAAACATCCCAGCGTAAGACAATACACATGGGTTCAGGTTTCAAGCCACGGGGTGAGGGCAGCTAGACTTGATAGAATCTATATCTCAAAAACTATCACATCTAGGTTAGCACACAGCCTCATCACACCTGTTGGTTTCACTGATCATCACTTGGCCACTATGCAATTAGTTTCCTCCCCCGTTAAAAGGAACAACTCTTTTTGGCATTTTAATGTAAAACTTCTGCAGGACAGATTTTTTTGTGAGACTTTTAAGGATTTTTGGAGCCACTGATGGAGAAAAGGCAGGGTTTGAGTCACTTAGTCAGTGGTGGGAAGTGGGAAAGGCCCAGATTCGCCATTTTTGCCAACAGTATACAGCTCATTCTGCAAATCAAACCCGATTCACAATACAAGCTCTAGAAATAGAAATACAACAGTTAGAGAATCTAATAGTCACTAGCAACAATCCAGACAAGAGAAAACTATTACAGGAAAAGAAACAGCATTTATCCACTTTTTTAAATCATATAGTGCAGGGAATATTAGTTAGAGTACCTTTCACATCTATTAGTGAAATGGACGCTCCAAGCAGCTTCTTCTTTAACTTGGAGAAGACTGTAGCCCAGAGGAAGCAGATGGCCTGCCTCCGTCTCCCTAATGGCGGTCTAACAACTGATCCGGCTGAGATGAGGAAAGAAGCAGTGACTTTTTACATGGATCTTTTCAAGTCAGACGTTTGTGATGGAGATGCCACTGCACAACTTCTCCAGGAACTGTCACAGTTAAGCATGGAGGAGTGCTCCATCCTGGACTCTGTTTTAGTAGTCCGCGATGGAGTAATAGATTCTGTTGAGCTCTATTTGATCTCTGTTTTCAACAGCTCCCTATCTACTGGTTGTGTCCCTGATTATTTTAAAACGGCTTGCGTGAACCCACTTTTAAAGAAACCTGGTTTAGATCCCTCCCTCCCACATAATTTTAGACCAATTTCAAAACTTCCTTTTATTGCGAAGATTCTAGAAAGAATTGTGTCCAAACAGCTGCTCACTGTACTGGGAAATAACAAAATATTAGAAAAGTTTCAATCTGATTTCAGGAAGTACCACAGCAATGAGACTGCCCTGCTTAAAGTCACCAATGACCTTTTATCACAACATCATGTTAGACAGACTGAGGCACTGGGTGGGGATCTCTGGTACTGCCCTAGAATGGTTTTCATCCTACCTGTCAAATAGGAAGTTTTGCGTGTCTGTAAACAACTATGTCTCTTCGTTCTGTCCTGTTAAATATGGTGTGCCTCAGGGGTTGGTCTTAGGAACCATTTTGTTTTCCTTGTATCTGCTTCCCCTTGGACATTTTATCCATAAACATGGCATTTCTTTTCATATTTATGCTGATGACACACAAATATACTTGCCCGTCAGATCCACAGACCCTGGAATGCTGAGTTCACTTAACAACTGCCTTTGTGAAGTTAACAAAATGGATGTCAAATAATTTCCTCCAGCTGAACTCTAACAAAACAGAAATCCTGGTCATTGGGTCCCAGCAGATGGCAAAACAAATACTGCCATCTGCTGGTTCCCTAGTAAATCACATCAAGCCTGTGGCAAAGAACCTTGGTGTTTGGTTTGATAGCAATTTACATTTTGAGCAGCACACCACAAAGCTTGTTCAATCATGTTTTTATCAACTTAAAAATATAGCAAAAATTCGATCTATGTTAACTTTTAAGGACACTGAGACCATTTTACACGCCTTCATCTCATCACGCCTGGATTATTGCAACAGCCTTTTCACCTGTTTAACCCAAAAATCTATTGATCGACTCCAGACTGTCCAGAACTCAGCTGCCAGGCTTTTAACCAGAACAAAGAAATATGACCACATTACTCCTATTTTAGCTTCATTACACTGGCTCCCAGTATGTTTTAGAATTGACTTTAAAATTCTATTGATCACTTTTAAAGCTCTTCATGGCCTCTCACCTTGTTATATTTCTGACCTTTTAGTCCCATACACACCAGCACGTACCTTGAGATCCTCGGGCAGAGGTCTGCTGTCTGTTCCAGAGTCTCGACTGAAAACTAAAGGGGACAGAGCGTTTGCTGTCAGGGGCCCGAGGCTCTGGAACAGCCTGCCCGAGGAAATCAGGTCGGCTGAGTCAGTGAACTCTTTTAAGTCCCTTCTTAAAACATACTTTTATAGGAGAGCCTTTCCCGATCTTATTTAAATTTATCTTATCCCTTTTATTTAATTCTATTTTACTAATTTTATATTTATCTTAAACATGTATTTTAGTCTTTTCTTTATCTTGTATTGTTTTTGTATTATTGTTTTTTTTGGGTATTATTGTTTTTTGGGTATTATTCTCTTTACACTTGTTAAAGCACTTTTGTAACTAGTTTTTGAAAAGTGCTCTACAAATAAAGATTATTATTATTATTATTATTTAACACCGGAGGAACTCACCACTGCAGTGGGACAACTGACATCAGGCAAGGCACCCGGTGTGGACGGACTCCCTGCAGAGTTCTACAGGCAGTTCTGGAGCCACCTGGGGGAGGACCTGAGAGACGTTCTGCTGGAGTGTGTCGGGAAAGGTTCGCTGCTGTCATCATGCCGGAGGGCAGTTCTTTCCTTGCTACCCAAGAAAGGGGATCTTGCACTGCTGAGGAACTGGAGGCCGGTAGCCCTGCTCTGCACAGACTACAAGATCCTCTCTAAGGTTCTAGCCAACAGACTCAAAAACATCTTAGATAAAATAATTCATAAGGATCAATCCTACTGCATCCCCGGAAGAACTATTATGGAAAATTTGTTTTTAATGAGGGATATCTTTGACATTTGTAAATTGTGTAACAGCACAGTGGGAGTGGTCTCTTTGGATCAAGAAGTCTATGAAGATTCTCAGTCATCTAGGTCATAGTTATCCAACGAAGGTCAAAATCAAGGGCAACTGGACTTGGTTGACAGCAAACGGACCCTTTTACCATTTTTGAGAGCCGCTTTTTTATAATACAGCCTTGAGAACCAGAGAACTGTCGTCTCCCAGCTTGAGGACAAGTTTGAGAGGGTCAGGAGTAGTTAAGCTGGGTCACCTGCTAAAAAATCTCCACTGCACGGCTGAGAGAACTGACTGAAATCCGGTCTGTGAGGCTGCTGGACAGACTGGTGGAGGAGGTGTGTGCATCCCTGCCAGTCCCATCAGAACTATGGCTGAGTATCGTACTGCAGCTGATCAGTAGAACGACGAGTGTGAGTACCTGTTTCCCTCTCTGACACTCTCTCCTGCTGTGGAGGGCTGGCGGAGGAGGAAGAAAACCTTTTGTCCTTTACAACCCCACAGCTGGGTAAGTTTGAAACTGTAGTCAAAAAGGCAATTTATAACGCCTGTGTCAAAGTGTCGCACTGTCGCTCTCTAGAGGGGATGAAGGCCTCCAGGTGGACTGACTACTTTGGCCCAGGCTCTTCCCCAAAAGGAAGCTGGCTGTCCCTGTACAAACCCCCTGTCAATAAGCGGACAGGGGATCTCCAGTGGAGAATTGTACATGGGATTATAGCTACAAACAGGCATGTGGCCCACCTAAATACTGGTAGTGGGGAGGGATGCCCTTTTTGCAGTGCTGGGGAAACAACAGAGCATCTATTCTTAGAATGTGCAAGGCTGAGGGGAGTGTTTAGAGTACTACAAGGGTGGAAGCACTTTATTTTTGGTCCAAAATTTTCGCCAAAGGAAAAAACGTTACACGTTCTTGTTAATGTTTTGTTTGGGACTACAAAACTGGCAATCTGGAAAACCAGGAAGAAGAAAGTCCAGGGTCAGCTGGGCTCACTGGACCCTGTGATGATGTTGGCTGGTCTTCTCTCAGCACGCCTCAGGGTTGACTTTGCTTTTCATAAACCGACAGACAATCTGGCCACTTTTACGTCTACGTGGGGTTTAAAGCAAGTGCTGTGTTCAATACAGAATGGAACTTTAATACTCAACATATGAAGTGAAGGTGTTCACTTTAACTTTTTAACCTGTATTTTATTGACACATTTTAATTTTACTTTATTTTAGGCCAAGGTACAAGTTTAGTAGTGATGTGCTTTTTTTGCAAATGGGATTTAACATTTGTTCAATCTTGAAGATGTTTGTTTTTTCCAGATCTTGTAAGTGGTTTTGGTCTAAAAGACCGATGAAATAAAGTGATTCTAAACTCAAACTCTCTCTCTCTCTTTCTCTCTCTGTCTCTACCACTTTTCAACACAAAGTGAATCCCTTGCTGCTGTCAGTCATTTAAACGTTTCCATGCTCGCAGTGATGTCACAGTTAATATCGTGGGACATTTCTGCAGCAAAACAAATAAATGTAGTTAAAAACTTGACAGGTCAGACAGAGGAAACTCTGCAGAGGAAACTTTCAACTTTTAGTGTCTGAAATGTTTGGACTCTCTGATGGAGCTCAGGACTGATCAGGAGGACGGCTGCTTTACTCCAAACAGTGTCAGCAAGCTAACACGCTATTTAAGAACAGTCCGTGTTGATGCAGTCTGCAAGTAGAAGGATCCGTCAGAACCAATCATCAGCCGGCAATCTGACAGCTGACTTAACGTTTCATCCACAGACTTAGAAATAATAAAACAAACAGACGTAACGCTCTTCCTGATTATCAGCTTATATTCCACATCATGTTTTTAAAGAAATGATAATAAAATAGATAAATACAATGAATAAATAAATAATCTCTATTTCAACTATCATACAATAACAAATATTTCCTTTTCCTAAACTTCTACATTCTAAACCTTTTTCAGCTCTGATGATTAAACACTGAATGATTTCAAGCAGGAACATTGTCTTCTAACGTTATATCATTTATTCTTTATTCAGATTGGAGGACTGCAGTTCGTCAGAGATCAGCTATGCTTCTGTGGCCTCAGCTCTGAAGTCCAACCCCTCCCATCTGAGAGAGCTGTACCTGAGTGACAACAACCTGCAGGATTCAGGAGTGAAGATGCTGTGTGGTTTTCTGGAGGATCCACACTGCAGACTGGAGACTCTGAGGTCAGTTCAATGACTCTCTGTTACTATTGTAGATCTGAATTGTTTAATTAACGATTTGAAGCTAATTTCATTTCATAACTTCCATCCCTAAACTTGTAAATGTCCTTCTGTTCATATTTTCATGTTTCTTGTGCTAAATTTAGTCTGCAGTCACAAAGACTTGTGTTTCTTAAAGAAACTACCACCATAATTGCACTGTCCTTTCCTCTGGAAAAGGACAACTCATACCAAAACGGCAGGCCACCTGTCCATCGACAGCAGAAGACTATCTGCCTTGCAAGTTTTGTGTAGCTATGTATGTCAAAACAGACCTGTGGAGACATCAAAAGCGTTGCAAACTACAAGTGACAGAGGATGGGACACTGAAAAGAAAAGTTCAGGCAAGTTGTTCACTGATGTTGCCTATGAACACTGCCATTTCCAGCGGACTAAAACAAATTCTTGAACATATGACATATGACACTGTAACGCAAGCCGTGAAGTCTGACGTGCTGATCATTTCACTGGGAGAGAGGATGTTCCTCAAAAATGGAGAAGTTCGACGACATCAGGCAGACATCAGAAATAAGATGAGGGAACTTGCCAGACTTGTTCTTGTAGCAAGAAAAATGGACAATGACATTGTTTTTTTGAAGGACTTGATCACCCCAGGAAAGTTTAACACAGTACTTGAGGCTGTTAAACAAATGACGGGGTTCAATACCTTAACAAATAGATTCTCTATTCCCTCGACGGCACTTAAACTGCGCCATTCCCTTGTGAAGGTGTCGTATATCTTGCAAGGAGATGCTATACGCCAAGAGGACGATGCCTTAAAAAGAAGAGTTGAGCAATTCATTAAATTAATTGAACTGGAATGGACAACGCATGTGTCAACCAATGCACTGAAAACCTTATGTCAGAAGAAATGGAACAGCCCCACTGTGCTACCTCTAACTGAAGACATTAGGAAGCTCCAGGATCATCTGAAATGCCTTGAAGTGGCCAACAAAAAAGCTCTCATTGACAAGCCATCCAAAAAGTCATGGAGTGAGCTCTCTCAAGTCACTCTGACACAGCTCATATTATTCAATCGACGTCGTGAAGGAGAAGTTTCCAGAATGGAAGTTAAAACATACCTGGAGAGAAACAAACACAGTATGCAGGATGAAATTCTGGAGAGCCTGTCCCCTTTTGAGAAGAAATTATGTGAGAATCTCATCAGGGTAGAGGTACGGGGAAAAAGGGGTCGCAAAGTGCCAGTGCTCTTCCCAACAAATGTAAGACAGTCTGTGGAACTTCTGATAAAAACTAGAGAAGACGTTGAGATTTCCCCGAGCAACCCCTACATTTTTGCCCGTCTTTATTATGGATCTCAGGAGAACATTCGTAGATGTGACAGCTTAAAACGGTATGCAGATTGCTGTGGAGCTGAACACCCAGAAAATATCACATCCACCAAATTGAGAAAGCATGTTGCCACAGTGTCACAGCTCCTTAACCTTCAAACGCATGAACTAGACCAACTTGCAACTTTCATGGGACATGATATACAGGTCCATAGAGATTTTTACAGACTACCTGAGGAAACTCTCCAAATGGCAAAGATTAGCAGACTTCTTTTTGCTCTGCAAGGTGGAATAAGCAAATTCAAGGGAAAATCCCTGGAAGATATAACACCAAACATCAACTGTAAGTAAAGGATTTCAAGTATTAACTGTAGTTTTTATTAAAACAAGGCAAGTGCTTTATACTTATTCATAAATATTCATAAACATTTGGTTGCAGCTGAAGAGGACTGTAGTGACTCAGATCCAGAGGATATCCAGTCTGAGAGGACTACTAGCACAAGTCAAAAAGGTAAGATTTTCCACTGCATGTCGTACTTAATGCTAAAAAATTATTCAAACACTTGAATCAAGTATAACAAATGTATTGCCATCTATGTGGATTCAGGACACTCAGAGGATGAACATTCTTAAGAAGCGACGTCTACTTCAACAAAGAAAATTAATGGCATTAAGAAATCATCATTGCCATCAATTCAAAAGGGTACATTATTCCACTGACAAGAATATTGTACACATGGAACATCTTGACATTTGTTGAGAAAAATTGAACATTTTGATCTATTCGTATCCTAATTTACTTTTTTGATTTATTCTTAGGGAAATCCAGAAGGCCCTGGTCAAAGACTGAGAGAGAAATTGTTGAACACCATTTCAAGGACTTCCTGAAGGAAATGAAGACCCCTGGAAAAGTGGACTGTCAGAGATGCATAAATGAAAATCAGACTCTAAGGGATAATGGAAGAGACTGGAAAGCCGTAAAATACTTCGTGCACAACAAAATAATAACCATCAAGAGAAATTTGGGCCAACAATATTATGAACAATGACACTGGATATTGTGGAGCATCAACGCTACGTGCCTAAATGCTGGGAGCTTGCATTATGAAGCGTCAGTGCTACGTGCCTGAATACTGGGAGCTCGCATTATAGAGCATCAATGCCACGTGCCTAAATACTGGTAGCTCGCATTATGGATCATCAATGCTACGTGCCTAAATACTGGTAGCTCGCATTATGAAGAAGCAATGCTATGTGCCTGAATACTGGGAGCTCGCATTATGGAGCATCAGTTCAAGGGTTACAACATTGGTAGTTCATATAAATGGAGCATCAGTGTAAGGGTTACAACATTGGTAGTTCATATAAACGGAGCATCAGTGTAAGGGTTACAACATTGGTAGTTCATATAAACGGAGCATCAGTGTAAGGGTTACAACATTGGTAGTTCATATAAACGGAGCATCAGTGTAAGGGTTACAACATTGGTAGTTCATATAAACGGAGCATCAATGTAAGGGTTACAACATTTCTAGCCCATAATAACAGAGCATGAAACAACAGAACAACTGTTATTGACTTTGTTTACTTACTTTTTTTTTTACTTTTTACTATTCATAGAAGCACTCATCACTGAGGATGTAAAGTCTGCACTACCGTGGGGGGTGGGACAGGGAGGGTGAGTGGGGGTGGGGGTGGCTCTTATTAAACTTAAATTAATATAGATATTATTATTTATTATTTTTATTGTTACTGTTATTATGTCAAGAACAAGTCTTAGTTTGTGTGTGAGCTTAAAAGTACTTTTAATAAAACTTATTTTAACTTAACTTCTGTATCTTTGGTAATGTTTTCTATTTGTGGTTATAAGATTATTGCCTTCAAACATCGTGATGGTTCTGAAATGAGCTGTAGGTAAGTCATCACTATTTCTGTGGCCATTAACATACCAGTTAAACTATGCTGTGTAGCCCTTTATAGTGTTGATCTTAAAACACAATACAAGCACTTTGTAACTTGCTTCTGAAAAGTGCTCTACAAATAAAGATTATTATTATACATCCACTAAAACTCAGCCTTTATACTTTGTTACAAAAAAACTTTATAGCAAATAAAGAGACTATTTAGTTGAGTTTATTTTGACTCAAAAGTATGATTACATTTGCTTATTTATTATTTTCATACAAGTTGGAGTGTGATTATCCATGCTATCTAAGAGGGAACCTGTGTCATCATGTACCAGTGAACAGTGGACTCCTGTCGTTCCACACAGTACAAGTGTGGTCCCTTTGTCCTTAATTCAAATCAATAAATAAAACGCATTTCTGTAAGTGTAGACTAAGCACATAGATATGATAACAAAATGTATTGACATTCAGTGGTTGTGAAAACTGGTCAGTTAAGTATTTTAGAACTGAAAAAGTTTAAAGCAATTGTCAAAGTCTGATGTGAAATACTTTTTGAGAATTAATTAAAACTGAAATGAAAGTATCTTACCTCTAATCATTTAATTTATAATTCTACCCTAGCTGTTTTTCTATTTCTGTTCCTTTTTTTGGAATCTAAAATCCTTTTTACTCTCGTGCTCTCTGTGTAGCCCTTTATTGTAATACAATGTTGATTTTAAAACTCAATACTTCCACTAAAACTCAGCCTTTATACTTTGTTACAAAAAAACTTTATAGCAAATAAAGACACTATTTAGTTGAGTTTATTTTGACTCAAAAGTATGATTACATTTGCTTATTTATTATTTTCATACAAGTTGGAGTGTGAGTATCGCTCCGTGCTATCTAAGAGGGAACCTGTGTCATCATGTACAAGAGAACAGTGGACTCCTGTCGTTCCACACAGTACAAGTGTGGTCCCTTTTTCTGTAATTCAAATCAATAAATAAAACGCATTTCTGTAAGTGTACACTAAGCACACAGATATAATGGGAAAAAAATGTATTTATGTCCAATGCTTTTGAAATCTGGTCAGGTTAGTATTTTGCGACTGAACAAGTTTAAATCTCTAGATGTCAAATGTCAAATAATTTTTTTTTAATTCATTCATTTTTTTAATAATGAATTAAAACCATAAAAGTATCTTTATACTGACCATTTTATTTATAATTCTACCCTGGTTGTTTTTCAATTTTTCTCTCCAGGCCTTCAGTGTAGCCCTTTATTTTAATACATGTTGATCTTAAAACACAAGACATCGACTAAAACTCAGCCTGTATATTTTGTTAGAAAAAATTAAGAAATTGTGTTTCAAGAGACAGCTTTCTTTACTGAGTAGCTTGTATAATAGCCCCTCTACAGTCTGATAGACTCCCTGTGGCTGCAAGCCATTCACTCTATAGGGGAGTGTTAAGAACGACGTGTGTGAATGAGTCGTTAAAATCTCTGCTTGATCCACTAGAGGCACTGCTGAGTATGGACTTAAACACTCACACACCTGCAGGTCCCCTCTTGACAATAGTTTAAAAAATTTACCAGATGGTTTTAGACATGATTTTAGCATGATTTAAAGCATGTCCAACAGGGGACCTAAAAAATGTCCCCTGTTCACTTTGAAGTTCCCTCTTAGTGGGTGTGTAACAACGTCGAGGTCCACTGTTAGATAGGTTGGTAAGTGCACACACACACACACACACACACAGATCAGATCATATTTCTAAATGCAGCTTTAAAGGATCAATGTAGTTATTCTGCTCTAGTTCTAGACTGTCCTGAGATCAGCTGCATGTTATTGATCTGTGTTGACATGAATAGGTGTATGAATGTTGTGCTGACATTTGGATGATGTCTGTAGAAGGCTGACATTATGATGATCCACAATAACACAATGACAAAGTCTCTCTACTCATTTTAGGGAAAAGCTCATTGATTAGGACATAGTAATGTTGAGCTCCACATTTAAAACCTGAACACATCTGATTGGATTAGAAATGGATTTTTTTCTCCATCATTTATTCTTTATTCAGATTGGAGGAATGCAGTTTGTCAGAGATCAGCTGTGCTTCTCTGGCCTCAGCTCTGAAGTCCAACCCCTCCCATCTGAGAGAGCTGGAGCTGAGTCTCAACTACAAGCTGCAGGATTCAGGGGTGAAGCTGCTGTGTGGTTTCCTGGAGGATCCACACTGCAGACTGGAGACTCTGAGGTCAGTTCACTCACTCTCTGTTACTCTTGTAGATCTGATATGTTTAATTAACAGTTGATTGATGTTTGGTAAGTGCACCAACAAACTGGGCGAGCTGGTGAGGAAGGCCAGCTCGGTGGTGGGGATGGAAGTGGACAGTGTGGAGGCAGTGACTGAGAGGAGGATGAGAGGGAAGCTGAAAACCATCATGGACAACCCCTCTCATCCTCTCTATGCTGAGCTGAGGCAGCTCAGGAGCTCCTTCAGCCACAGACTCATCCAGCCCCGAGCCTCAAAGAGCTTTGGAGGCTCATTTGTGCCGTCAGCCATCAGGCTCCACTAGGGGTGTGGAAAATAATTGATCTTTAGATGCATCGCGATGCGGACTTGGACGATTCTGAATCCATTGACAGATGTCAATAATGGATTATCTAGAGGTTAACTGATAACGTAATGTTGACGGAACGAAAAAGGCGGAACTCAGAAATGTGAAGTCTGTGGTGTGAACACAACGGAGACGTGTGGTTCTCCCTGTTCAGCAGAGACAGACAGCTGTTTGACATTATCAATAAAATCAGACTAATGTTAATGATTATGTTAATGAGGTCACAGCGTGTCCGTTAATTAAAGTCTGTCTGTTTTCCAACTGCTGGAAAAGTGAAGGCGGTTAGTGCTAGCTAACATCTCCTCTTCAGACTGCGGTCTGGAAGCTGAGCAGGACGCTTTTTTGCTGCTACTTCAAGTTCGTTTGTTGTCATTCATCCACATATCGAGTACACAAATGAACGAAAAGACGTTTCTCAAGGCCCATGGTGCTCAACACAAGTTGTGCTATTTGCGAGTTTTCGTCAATGGGCGTGTCTGTGGCGTCGATGATTCGCCATGAAACAGGAAGTTGTTGTAACTTCAGTGTACATGCTCACATCTGCACCAAACTGTACATGTAGGATGAGAGTCCCGCCCTGAACACATGTACATGCCGACATTCACCCACAGTCATAGCGCCACCTGCTGGCAACAGGAAGTGACTTTTAACGAAGCAGCCACCGCCGCACGTTTCACCTATGTGCACGAATTTGTCCAGACACACAAAAAAGCCTCTTGGAGCGATGCCCTAAAACCAACAGGAAGTCGGCCATTTTGAATTTTACGGCCATTTTTGGATGATTTACACACTCCGTACTTTAACGAACTCCTCCTAGGGATTTGGTCCGACCGACTTCAAATTTCTGCTGTGCCTTCTAAAGGCATTGAAGATGAAAAGTTGTGCTATCTGTGAGTTTCCGTCAATGGGCGTGTCCGTGGCGTGGCGTCAAAGATCAACTCTTCGCCATGACACAGGAAGTTGTTGTAACTTCAGTGTACATGCTCACATCTGAACCAAACTTTACGTGCTTGATAACTCTCCCACCCCGCAGACATCTACACGCCAATACAGATTTATATTCATAGCGGCAAGTGCTATGTAGCTCCACATAGGGGACCCAGGAAGTGACATATATCACCTTCATGCGACGTCGGAACCGCGTAGCAAATTCACAGCCGCAGAGCTCCAGAATGTGCAACTCGGCCGGCTCACACCCGGACGCGCTACAAGTACAAGGGCCCGCCCAACGCTGCTTGCAGCTTTAATCTTGTATTTGTATTGTGTCCTTTACCCCTACAGGGATTAACACAGGTATGTCTTATCTGAAATGGTCACATCTGGATACAGAAGATCCTCTGAACTAATATTTGTTTGAAACTGATCAAGTTTACTTGTTGAAGTAGAAATATTTCGGTAGCACTTTATAATAACTACACACTAAAAAGCATTAGTGAAGTATTACTAAATACGGAATTCATCATTTATAAAGCATTGTAGCCAGCCTAATACTGTGCTAATGTTGCTGACCCGTAGCTGCTTGTTATGACGCGTTAGGCGGCTAATGTTGTACCTGATGTTGCGTGTAAATCAGATCCAGAGGCATCGTCTTCGTTGCAATATCACCAATTTATTGTTCTCCACACAGATGAAAGGTGCACAAAGTCCACAAGCACGAAGATTCCCACAAATGAACATGACAACAGCATTCACACAAACTCCGCCATAGCGGTCAAAAACTTGTTTGCCCTTCCGGGGTCAACACCTGACAACTACCTGTTGCCCCTTCGCTTATATAGTTGAGCCTACAGCACCATCTAGTGACCAAACAAAAAATAAACAAACATTTGGCTCCTATATAAAGCATTGTTCATACATTAATACACATTAGTATGTCATTCATAAACATAGTTATGAATGTTTTATTCTGTATTATCTACAAACTATGAAGCAGTTGTTAAGTATTAGTACATTTTTAATTTATCATTTACAAACCATTGTTCTTACGATAATACACATTAGTAAGCCTTTATTAATAAGCTCATCTATAATGTGCTTAATAATTGTATTTTCATACTTTATACATGATTGGTTCACTATTTATAAATGAAGAATTATTTTAATGACAAACCATTTATATATGAGTTGTTTATGGTTCATAAGA